AGCAGTGCTAACCACTGAGCCACTGTGCTGCCCTGTGTGCTGAGGCATTGGCATTCTTTGGAGCCAGCACTGCGCCAGGTAATGGGAATGTTTGCATGTTTGGAATTTGCCAATGGACAGCACAGGATTCCCCTGGCTGTCCTCTGTTTGGCTTGTCCAATGTAGTAGTGTTGTCCCAGTTGAAAGTGTGGTTTTTTTCATCAGTGTGTATTCTTGGAGGCTTGGTCTTCATCCACAGACTGCGTCAATAAACACATTGAATTAGACCCGATATACTGACCATTGCAATGCACAATTGGAACCGGCACCTACAGGAAGCAGCAAAAAACTGGACCATATAAAATTGAACCGGCACCAGACACCAGTGCTTCACAGGAGGCTCCACAGCACTGAGGATGTCACCTAGTATGGGAACGAAACATCTGCTATTGAATGGTCATTGTTGACCTGAAATGTTAGTCCTGTTTCTCTTTGCAAATGCTGCCTGATCTGCTGAGTATTTTCGCTCTTATCAGACAGGGACCTTGTTACTTGTTCTTGATACCATGATTTTATACTTGTTGCCATATGTATTCTCCTAAGAGGATACAATCTAAAAACTCTTGAGGGAGATGAGCTTGATTGCAAATAAATTGATTTATTTGATATGAAATATGTGAATAAATACAATTTTCTAGTGAGATGTATCTATTAAAAATAAACAAAGATAAGAAATAAAAACAAAAAGAACTGTGAATGCTATAAATCAGAAACAAAAACAGAAATTGCTAGAAAAGCTCAGCAGGTCTGGCAACACCTGTGGAGGGAAATCAGAGTTAATGTTCTGGGGCGAGTGTCTCTTGACCCGAAACATTAACACTGATATCTCTCCACAGATGTTGCCAGATCTGATGAGCTTTTCTATCAATGTCTGTTTCTGTTTGTGACAAAGATAAGAAATCATGGTCTTTATATGTAATGCGGTGATATCAGTATTGGCATACTAGCTTTGAGACAAAACATATTTATTTTTTTCAAATATATAAATTTATCTCAAACAAATATCCATGTCTGTAAATAGGGACATGTTGTCAATTTGGGAAGTAAACAAACAGAGTTTATAAGATTAACATTTTAAACTTAATATAATGCTTTACCGGTTTGACAACTCATCTGATCTAGTTATTTTACACCTGTCATCTTGTTGTTCTTTGTTGCACTTCTTTGACAACTTGTTTGTCTTGCTGCTGATGTCTGTCTCGCTACAATACCACACAATCATCCTCTTCTGAGTTCTCCTCCCCACTCTCTTTGTGCATCATCGCTGTGCCATTCATTGGTCTGAGTTTAGTTCTGTTCTTTCGCAAAGTAGCACTATGATTAGTAATGACTTTATATGATTTGGGCTGGTTACATATTTTATAAACTTTTGTATTCAAGTATTTATATTTGTATTTCTAACTCAGGCTGTCTGACCAATGTGTACTTTTCATAGTCCTCTACTGCTCACTTGTCGTGCATCCCTTGTTTTCCTCTGTCTTTGAAGAGGAATCTCCTATGTCTCGATAGGCAATTGGTTGTTGGTGTTATGAAGCAGACCAGAACCCCATCAAAATATAATAAGAAGGTAGCATAGACCATAACTTTTTCTTAATTTAAAGGTAAATGTGAGGTACTGTGTTCCAGATGCAATTCGCTTGGTCAAACTACTCAACATAAAGCAAAATACAACTAATTCAAACACTATAGCTAAAATACAACAAAAGAAAGTGAAACTTGCAACAACTTAACTTTATTGAGGCACTTAACACAATAATAGATATCTTGCTACTAAACAGTAACTGTGTCAATATAGTAACATTCCATAAACACACCCTTGGCAAATGGAAACTTCAGAAAATAGAATTGTCTCACATGTAACTCCAGCAGCCCAGGAAGAAAAAACATTCAGACAAAGCTCAGAGAAAGTGTGTAGAAGCTGGGAGAGATTCACTGCCTTCCAACCCTGTTGACACCGCAGCAACAACTGCTGTTGAAAAAGAAACAAAAAATCCTGGTTCTGTGAGAGCTCAACCCCATCCATGGAAGCTGCTTCTATTGTTCCAACTTTCAAAATAAAACCAAGGCCTCACAAGCTGTTTACCCCAAAAGTTTTGGTAGATTGCTCATTACCTCTGCCTTAAATCTTCTCTTCAAAAAAAATCAGGACAAAATAATCTGTTAAAGCCACCGCATCGTCATGTTGGCAAGGTTGGTTGCAGTTGCCTTCCAAATTTGAGCTGGGGAAGGTAATCCCTTCTCCAGTGATCATTGATTTGATAGTATGTTCCATACATTCTGCTAGACTGTTTGTTTAAGGTATTAGAGTAACATAGGCCATTTAGCCCACTGAGTCTGCTCTGCCATTCTATGAGATCAAGGCCTCTAGTTATGCTCTTCTCCACAAGACAAAACATTCTGTCTACACTGTACCAAACCTTTCAGGATTTTAAAGCCCTCTATTTAGTCACAACTCTGTAAAAGAGCTGGAGACCCAGCTGACAATGATTTTCTAACGTGTATGTCCATGCATTTCTGGTATCATCCTTGTCAATTTTCTTTGCATCATCTCTAGTGTCTCTATATCCTTTTTAATATGGCAACAAGAACTCCATGCTGCATTCTAAATGTAGTCCAAGTAAGACTCGATTAAAGTTTAGTATAACTGCCACAGTTTTCAATTCTGTCCATGTACAAATAAAGCTTAAGTTTTGGATTGAATTTTTTATGGGCAAATCTATGGTGCAATTTTCAGTGATTGTTGCATTTGTACTCTAAGATAGTTTAATTTTTCAATGTTACAACAACTAGGTTTCTGTCCTTTCATGTATATAGACACAGTGTACCTATATAATTATTTTCTGCTAGGTTTCCCACCAGTTCCTACATATAGACAGTGTGTGGTTGTATGGTTGTACTTTTCCACCATGTTTTCTATTTTTTCTCATATGCAGTCAGTGTTGGTGTTTGTCAGTACTTTTTAACAAGCTTTAGTTTTCTTGTGCTTATACACAATGTTTGTGAGAGTTTGTGTATGCTGGTACTTTTCAACTAGGTTTAAACTTCTTTTTATTCAGACACTGTATGTGTATGTGTATGTGTCAGTATGTTCCACTAGTTTCCTATCTTTTCTGTAAATACACTCACTATGTGTGTGTGTGTGTGTGCGTTTAGGTCAGTACTTTTCCAAATGGCTTCTATATTTTCCTGTATATAGATAATGTATGTGTTTCAGTACTTTTCCACTAAGTTTCTATAACTTCCTTGTATACTGACTTGTATACGTCAATACATTTCCACTAGGTTTATAATTTTCTTGTATACAGATACAGTGTGTGTATGTGTTTGTTGTATTTTAAGACTAGGTTTCTTTCTTTTCCTGTGGAAAGACACACTGTGTGTTTATGAATATTTTTCCACTAGATCCCTATTTATCCTGCATATAGACACAGTGTGTGTGTTTGTTAGTACATTTCTACTAAGTTTGTCTTCTTTCTTGCATATTGACACTGTCTGTGTACTTATGTGCATGTGTCAGTACATTTCCACTAAGTCCCTATTGTATCCTGGATACAGACCCAGTCTATGCTTTTGTCAGTTCTTTTCTACGAGATCTCTTTCTTTCTTCATTTTGACATTGTGTGTGTGTGTGTGTGTGTGTGTGTGTGTGTGTGTGCACATCAGACTTTTTCCAGTAGGTTTCAATGCTTCTATGTTCCAGTATCTTTTCACTGTGCTTCTGCAGTTTCATGTTTATAATAGATATGTACTTGAGCATATTTTCATTTGTTTCATATTTTCTTGTATTGATACATGTGCTGTAGAATAATGTAATTCAGAAAAAAGCTATTGAGCCTATCTTGTCCCCACGAGCCTTCTTTGAAAGAGCCAAGAAATTAGTCATCCTTCTCTACCTTTTTACCATTTCTCTATTGCCTTGACAATTCTCCCTTCAACTATTCATCCAAATTCTTTTTGAATCTGCTTCAAACATGCTTTCATGAATGTGTTCCAGATCATAACAACTGGCTGGGTATAAAAAGATCTCATGCCTCTTAAATCATATCCAGAACACAAATGGAATTTCATAAAGATGATGTTGCACAGAAGCTGAAAGGATTAAGAATCCTCAAAGCTTATTGGAATATATATAAAAAAGGGTCAAGAGCTGGACTTTCAGCTCCTTGTAACTATTCCATATTCACTTTAACCTGAATGATTTGTTGCTTCATGTCAAATCTTCTAAATCTTTGCTTCATATCCTGTGGTACAAAAACCTAACACTCACAATCTTACAAATATAAATTATTGAATTAATTTGGCACTTTTCCACTAGATTCTATGTTTTTGCATGTAGATATGTCTCAGTACTTTTTTCAGAAGTTTTATATGTCAAATTGTATAGTTATATGATTTCATGTGTATATTTATTTTAATAAGACATAAGTATTGTTTGGATAAAGTATATTCTTATGTACAGACATAGATGGACCTCAATACTGTCTCAGCTTTAATATATATTTGACTTGAGTATGATAAATATGGGTATGTTCCAGAACTGTGCAAGTAGATTCGTTCAGATTAATATTTGTTTTATGTATATGTTTATTTTTAGATATTTCCGTACTAATCTTAGTTCTTTCCCATCAGCTTTTTATATCCATTTGTTTTATATGGTCAGAAGGTATCCAGTACTTTTCCATGGGGTTTATATATACTTATTCATATTTATGTGCAACATATACGGATCAGTGTCTAGGCTTTGGTATTTTTCCACTGGGCTTATATAGATATAGATATTTACATGTAATGTATACAGGCCTGTGTCTCGCATTCAGTATCTTTCCATTGGGTTTACATTGCGTTGTAGATTCACATGTGCAGCTTTCAGTACTTTTCCACTGAGCTCACAAGCTGCACTTCCCATTCTGACGTCAAGGCTGCTGTCAGCTTCTAGCCGGCGATTGCTTTGTCTCCACGCCCATCTCCTGATGCTTTTCTATCTCATTCCCTTCTCCCGATCAGTTATTTTGTTTTGTAACCGATCAAGTGACACGGACAAGACGGAGACCACAACCCTCCAAAAGCAGCGATGGCAGACACAAGCCGCAAAGCAGAGACAATGGATATCCTGGGACATAGCTGTTCCAATGCGGGTAATGCTCACTTGCGATACTGCAGCCTCTGTGTGTGTGTGTGTGTGTGTTACAGGTGTCGGTGCAACACCATGCAGGTTCAAAGGGGCTACGTTCCTTCCTTTAGCACCGTTTAGGCGTTTTAATGCGCAACAATCCAAGTTGCTGGTTTCTCACTGGCGATGCGCACTAATCCGACATTTGGATAAAACAAAAAGTGAGAGTTCTGACGAGAACCGCTTTTGACTTCATTCCTAATGTAATTTTTCGCCCCGTTAACAAGTTTGAAATCAACCTCAGAAATGAACACTGAATAATTTTCGCGTTGTACGCTTGCAAAGAACAAGTGATTTTTAAAAAGATGCGTTTGAATTCAGCCGCTCGAACTGGTTGGATCCCAGGGTAAGTGATCCACTGTGGTTGTCTCTGACGGCAGGAGGAGCAGTGTCCAGTCTCCTTAAGCTTCAGCGCATCTTCCCCTCTCTGAGCTCGACTGATGCAGCATTAGAAGGCACTCCAGCCATTTGACCCACTCCCCTGGCTCTGTTTCCCACATTGTGAGCTTTTCCCTACCACTCATGGTGCTGTTTGACACCCACTGCCATTTCAGTGATGAGGGGAGAGGGAGTGTGGCAGGGAGTCTATTAACACATCGGAGGGGCCCGGAAACCTTTCCCTCCACCATGTCCATGGTTCTCACCTTCAGCCAACTCTCCTCCCTCCTCCAGCTGGTGGCGATCGGCCAAATTGGGTAAAATTCCACTGCGACCACCATAGAGCAATTTCGAATGGCCAGAAGGGTCGCTGTCTCTATGGAAACCTGAGATGCAATTGATGCAATCGGCTGGCAAATTGCTGCATGGAATTATTATTTTGTTGTTGTGACCTTGATTCAATCGGATTTATCTCCAAGGCGTCTTCCTTTTTTCTAATATCCTATTACACTAATCCTGGACGGGCTTCCTTAAGAGGATATAGCATTTTAATTCCTTTTCGCAAACTCCTTAAAGAGAAACATGAAGAAAATGACCACTATGTGTGTGTGTGTGTGTGTGTGTATTGGTTTGCGTTGTTTGGTTTCTCATCTCTAATTACTTTACAGTCCAGATCTGATGTTCTCCAATTTCGCAGCAGGAGGCGTTTCTTGCCTGTAAACGCCACCCCTCATCCCACACCACTCATCAACAAAAAAAAATAACAATTTGACTTTGCAGCTCCATTAGATTTGAGAATATTATTGCGGCAGTATATCAAATTAAATGATACAATGCAGCAAGGTCATTCATGTGCTTTGAACCGTTAGATCGTAGGAAATTACAGAAAAATGGACTTGGATCAAATCAGAACGATTTAGTTTTTGGAATATCCCTGTAGTTGTACGTTATTAACTAATCTTTGCTGCCACTCGTGTTGCAAATGTTGATTGTGCAGAACTGCAAACGGTTTGATCTAGACTTGTAGCACAAGAGGATAAGATTCAATTGAATGCTTTTATCGGAAATATTAACATTGTTAGAAGGACGCCATCCTGTTGTGTAAAAGAATCGGCGGACGTCTTCTATGGAATACTGAAGAGCAATGGTCACAGTATCACACAAGTTGACAGCGCCGGAAGGGGTTATTCAGTCTGTTGTGCTTGTGGGGAAAGTATTTTGAATTCATTCCACTTCCCCGCTCTTTACCCATAGCCCTGCAGTTCTTGTTATTGTCAGGCGGATAGCCAATTACCTTTTGAAAACTGTTAGTTAATCTGCTTCCACCACCTTTTCAGACAAGAATACAACACTAAAAACAAATGATTCTAGGCTTTTTCACAAGCATCTTCTTGTAATTAAGAGGGAACTGTTTGTATGGGAGATTGGGCTTTGAAAAGTAATGTCCTAAGGATGGCAACAGTTGGAAAGGTGTCAGTGTGAGGCATTCATTCTGGTTAGCCCTTCTTGGAGCCACTGTAACCAAATGTTTATGCTAATTAATAATATTAGACAAAGGACATAATTTCATTTTAAATATATTTGACAACCCATTTTTGGATTGAGAGAAGTGGAGAACAATTCCATTTGTATCACAGTGCCAGTATGTAGAACTGACACATTGATGTGATCTCAGTCTTACAGCATCTCACGACTCACCTCAGTGATGTCAGACAATGGGTGATTGTTGGTGGATTGACTTGATGGTGGTAGGTTTTTTTGCTGTTGGTGTCAGGTTTGCTGTTGAATTTCTGCTGTTAGTGTGTTCATCAAATTTGCATTATAATGGTTGTTAAATGACAAGCAAAACAAAATGTTGCAAAAGCATACTTAAGTAAATGATGTTTACATTTTGGTAAAAATGGTAGAATGAAATTGAAGTGCCAGGAAAGAATATGAATTAAAGCAAGTCTCTACAAAAAGAAGACATTGTAACAAAGGAAGGAAGTATAACGTGAGAAAATATGAAGTTGTTCATTTTGAAAGGGAGAACAAGAGAACAGAGTATTATCTAAATGGAAAGAAATTGCATAAAGCTGCAACACAAGGGGATTTGGGAATACCTGTGCATGAAACACAGCAAATGCAGAGGTGTGGCAGGTAGTCAGGAAGGCTAATGGAATGTTGGCCCTTATATTAGTTTAGTTGATGTACAAGAGTAGTGAAATCTTACTGCAACTGTGCAAGGTGCTGGTGAGACCATATTGGAATACTGTGAATTCTAGTTCCCTTATTTAAGGAAAGATATTACTTCATTGGAGGCAATTCAGAGAACGTTCACTAAGATGATCCCTGGTTTGGAAGGATCGTGTTTTGAGCACCACACTGTAGGGATTCTATCTATCTATCAAAGGCTAAACCAATTGGGATTCTACTCATTGGAACTAGAAGAATGAGAAGTTATCTCATTGAAACATATAGCATTCTTAAGGGGCTTGACAGGATAAATGCTGAGAGGATTTTCCCATTCATGAGAGAGTGTAGGACCAGAAGGCATTGTCTCAGAATAAAGGGGAGCCAAATTAAGACTGAGATGAGGATGATATTCTTCTCTCAGAGCATTGAGAGTCTTTGGAACTCCTTGCCATAGAAAGCTCTGGAGGCAGAGTTGTGTATATTTAAGGCTGAGATAGATTTTTGGTCTGTAGGGCAATCAAGGATTATGGGGAAAGTGCTGGAAATTGGCAATGAGGAATGTGTTGGATCAGCCATGATCCTAATGAATGGTGGTGGAGGAGGTTTGAGGGGCGGAACGGCCAACTCCCGTTCTGTTCCATATGGTGTTATAGTCTTAAAAGACTAATACCCTTTTTGAACACGTCAACCTCTGCAACTATCCCCTGACTCCTCAATTACCCCTTGATTTCCCGGCTATCCACTGAACCCCCTGACCAGACCCAACTAGCTTCCAATACCCGATCCCAACTACCCCGAACTCCCTGACTATCCCCCACCATTTGAATATTTCCTGCACCTCCCACCACCAGACCAACTACAAACAACCCTCACCACCTGACTACCCTAATCTCTCAACATTCTGAATGGCCCCAGACCTTACTATCCTGAACCTCTGATTATTCCCTGATATCCAACTACATCCCTGAACCTCAATTGCCTCCCACAACATTCCTGACTGCAGCCCTGACCCCTGAATACCCCTTGGTATGTGGATTACCCTGACCCATGGATTACCCTGACCCCTGACTAACACCTTACACCTTGACTACCCTTGGCTTCTGTCTACCACAAAACATCCCCACCCAACTATTCATTCACCTCCTTTGAACCTCCTGACTATCTAATCCCGACCAAGGTTGACTACTACTATACCACCCTGACTACCCTCTCTTCAATCACTCGACTACCTACCACTGCCCAAATACCAACCTGACCTGACCTGACTACACTTCACTACCAGACTAAAACTCCCACCTCCACAAGAGCTCTTCCCAGACCTATCAAATCATCCTCAAGACCCCTAGCTGCAATCCAATACAACCTGGCCAAACACTCAACCTCTCACCTGCTTGGACAATTTAACACCCTATCTATTGCGGATCTTTCACAAAATGAGGCTTCATCTTCACTTCCTCCAGGAATGTCTGACAAATCCTCTGCCGCCATCCCCCAACCTGTAATTTTATCATGAGGAATTTATTAACCAGTAATCTGTCATAGACTCGTGGAGTCATACAACATGGAAACAGACACTTTGGTTCAACCAGTCCATGCCAAACATAATCCCAAACTAAACTAGTCCCACCTGCCTAATCCTGTTCCATATCCCTTCAAACCTTTCCTATTCATGTACCTCCTCTCATTCTTTGTCACCTTTCCTGACCCTTGCTTACTTTTATGGCTACTGCCCCATCAAGTTCTTTTTTGACCATTTCTTATACGAAAGGCCTGTGTTCAATCTTGATTAATTTAAGTTGTTCTTCTTGATTCACTCCAACACTCCCAGATTTTACTGTCCCCCTGAAGAGCTTTGAAAATCTTTTGGTTCCCAGTCTTTCTAAAACCTCTCCAGTCTCTTTGGACTGTATATTTCTATGTGGGGGAGATTGGGATTTTACCTGTTGTTACAAAGCCCCTGAAAAGTTTGTGCAAGTAAACTTGGCACTTCTGTACTCTTCCCCTTGTGCCTTTCCATCAGCATTTTGGAATGTAACTTATTTTCAGGAATAAAATCTTTTATTTCATTAACAAGCAAGGTTTACAAGCACTTGGTGTTTCAGGGAATGCTGGTTTTCACTCTGGCTGTTTCTAACAATGTTTACCATTCCTTCTTCTACATGGTAGCTATCCTGGTCACAGGTCCTGAGCAGACACTAACTTCAAACATTGGTTTTGCAGCTTAAGTATCTGAGCAATTTCAAAACCAGCAATTCTCCTATACATGTCTTGTCTCCCAACACGAGAAGCTCTTGGGTGGTTTCCCATTTGACTTCCATCTGGATTCTATCTTTTTACAATTCTGGAAGGTGTTACTTTCTCTGCCTGGCTTTCCTTTTCTCCTTAGCATGCCTTGGGATATTTATTTCATCC